TTTCCCTTCAATTTCTATTAGCTATGCGTTCTTTCAAAGCAAGCAACTGCTGGGAATATCAAAGTGTTTGTAGTGAGACTCTGCATTAAACCATTTTCAAAAAGAAACTATAATTAGCAGAACTGTTCTGTTTTTTTTTTTTTTTTTTAATTCTGATTTTGTAAGTAACTCCAGAATTACATTAAAAATCCCACACATATCAATAACCCGGTTATAAAAATCTTAACTGTGTCATATGTGAATATTTGGCTTGTATTAAGGGACTGACTCCGAGAAAAACTAAATGTATACAAAGCACCAAGTATCAATGGTAGGCTATTTGCCATATAGCTTAAGCCCTGGGAGACAGACTGTACAATGAATGATGTAGTCCTGAGAGAAAGCTCCCTGGCATTTAGTGGTCTTGAGAAAGAACAGTTGGCTTTTCTAGGGAACTCTGTGTATAACCTGATTGCTCTCAAATAAAAATAGACACCCTCTCAATCAAAAGAGAGCCATGCAGACATAATGTGTGGCTAGCTTTTTACTGATAGCAGAAATGGTCAAGCAGATGAAATTGATTGTATATGTAGCTTAGAGGCTTTTGAATCGCAGTGTCTGTCCGTGTGCTCTGTGACTCCATTTTTGTAAAGGAGAGGACTGTGCTGCCCTTTCTATGGTGAGTAAAGGCCATATTTTGAGTTCCTGTATTGCTGGAAAAGGTGCCTTGTGCACGCCCGGGAGGTCTTGACAGAAGTGTGAGCACTGAATTTGCAGGGAGAAGGCCAAAAGCTAAAAACAAGTAGATGATTGCTGGCAAACGCTCCTGGCCAGAGTCTGAGGAACTCTTGGATGAAAAGCAGCATTGCTATGGGTTGTGCCATCACAGGAAGAAAATGTAATTCATTTTTCCCCAGAGCTCCTCAGTTTGGTCTAGGACTGGGGATTAAGGCTTATTAAGTAGTTCTGGTTGTAGGTACCACGCTATACATCCCTCCTTAGAAATGTAAGCAACCTGATGTACAGCCGTTGCAACATCGTGAACCTGGAAGTGGCCTACTGCCAAAACTACTCCCAGAAACACCGGGAAGGAGGCAGCAGCACAAGGAGCAGGCTGTGGGCCAGAGTAATTATTTATCGGGCAGTTCATGGCAGGTGTCATTGATCCACAGTCACTGTGAATCTTAAACGCATCTGAAGGGAATGCTGATAGTTGAAGCAGACTGATGTTACAGCATCTGTTTTTCCTTTCAAGAATATATTGTTTAAGTAAAACCCTGTCTGGTAGAACTCATAAAAATGATTGTGCAAACACAGATGCAGCTAGAAGCAGAAATCCGCTATGCTGGTGGAAAGGGTGCTGAAAGGAGTACTCAGAACTGGAAGAAGAGCCTGAGAATTACCCGTGGAAAGGAATTTTCCATTTCATATTTATCAACGTAAATAGGAGAAAGCAAGGAGTAGGCGCTGTGAATAGCTGTAAGTGATAGTAAAGGAAAAATGGAACTGAGAGGCATGTTTGTTATAGAGCTAGGAAGAAGTGAAGTAGAAAGAAATGTCAGAGCAAATGAAATGAGACTGTCCCAAGTAGAAGAGGAGGTCCATGGATGTGGCAAGGCACTGGCAGCCCTGCAGGGAGTAGGGATGTTGTAGTAGCAATGGGGCTGCCCTCTGTGTTGGGACTAATGATACACCAGATTCTTGCTAAAAAAGGTGTCCTGAGGTAACACAGAAGCAGAGGTCTGGGGAATTCACTGGAATTTTAGTCCCAGGGAAGGAAATCAAAGGTAGGACAAAACAGTGAAGATCAGTATTTGTATTAAACTGTTGCCATAAGGAGTCCGTTGGGATATTTTCCCATTGGAGGTATTCATGGAATCGTCTTGCTGATACTGTGTCCTGGCAGTAGTGTTAGCACAAAGAGCTTTAATGTAACAGAAACAGACTGAAAAGAGGAAGTAATTTGTGCAGCCTCTACTTCTGGAGGAAGGAACAGATCTGGGGAATGGTAATACGGTACTGCGTAGATGAGTGTGAGAAAGCAGATGGGCGGACATGGAGTACCAGGTATCAGTGACACCAGCTGTCAGGTAGTACAGTTAACGAGTAAACTGCACATCTTAAAAAGCTTTTTTCTTCTGACTTAAATTAGATTTTTGAAAACTGACAGAAGAAAACCTAGACAACAAAAGGGAGGACCTAAAGTACTGGTGTGGACCCTGGAGACAAGGCGTTCTGGTGGGAACGCAGCAGAATAGCCATAGTCAGAGAAACACATGGACTGAAGGACGTTCACTGTTCCTTGAACTTAGAATTTCTTCACTGGTGAAAGAACTACACTAAAAGTACAAAGAGGCTTCAAAAAAGTAAGTTGTGAATTTGTAATGTGACCATGGCATAATTTTGTCTCCAGAGCATTCAGAAAGGGGTTTTCATTTTCCAAAGTTGTTGTTTATTTTCTACTGTTTAAGATGTCCTAAAGATAGTAAACCACCTAAAAACTCTCTGCTCCAGAAACTAAATCTGAGCAAAAGGGGCTGCAGATGTTTAGAAAATAACAAAACCAACGTAATCTGGCTATTTCTTACCGTAGACCTTAATAGTATATTCAGGTACCTACAAGTAAATACACAATTATTGTCTTACAGGTGTTCGTTTTCAACAAAAAAAAAAAAATTGGCTGGGCCCTATAGAAGCTGCCCAATTTCCTATTTATGAAAGACACTCCCATAAAAATCAGAAGTTTCTCCCCTTACACTGTAATTTTCCTCATTTCTTAAATCCCCTGATTGGTTCTGTATCTTCTTCCACCAGTGCTTAATGCTCTTCTGCCTTGATCTCCAAAGCTCTGTGCAATTCCAAGCT